AGAAATCTGCAAATACTATAAGCAAATGGCTAATATCTACAATAATTCTACAACACAAATTTTTAAAAAGACAAATATCCAATAGGAGAATGAACAAAGAATATGAAAGCACAATTCCCAGAAGAGAAAACCCAAATGGCCAACAATCAGATGAAAAATGTTCAACTTCACCAGAAATCAGGAAAATTATAATTAAAACAATATATTATCTCACGTCAATCATACTGGGAAAACTTTAAAAACCTAACAATACCAGGTATAAAAAATGATATGGAACAACAACAAGAACCTCATAAACCACTGTGGGGAGCTAGAACTAGGCACAACCATTCTGAAAAGCAATGTGGCAAGATTTGGCAAAAATGAAATGTGTGCCTATGGATTTGCAATTGTACTTCTAGGTTTGCGTGTATGTAAGAAAATACATAGAAATGTTTATTTCAGCAACATTTTATGGTAGTAGCAAAAAATTCTAAACAACCCAGTGTTCATCAATAGATTGGACAAATGCATTTTTGTTAATTGATACTTAATAAATACTATGCAGCAATCAAAGTTAATAAGCTAAAGCTGTTTAGTTTCTAGAAAAAATATCTAGAAAAAAATATCTAGAAAAAAAATTCAAAGTATGTTAAACAAGGAAAAGGCTGCAGAAATATACTCAGCAAAGAATGCTACACACCACATGTTAACAGTTACAAAAAAATTTAAAGCATGTGCAACAATATTATATTTTGTTTACTGATACACCCATATGTTGTAACAAAAGTATAAAAACATGAATGAGAATGATGGACACCAAGTTTAGGATGATGGTAACCTCCATTCCAGCTGGGTCCTAAAGGATAGAGAGGGTTTAGACAGCAAGTAAAGTGGAGAGGAACGGGCATCTTGAGCAAGGAAAATAATAGAAACCAAAATACCAAGTTGGGAAAGGGTATGGTTGTTTGATGAGCCAAATGTCTAATGTCTGACTAAAGCAGAGAAAGCTTTATTTAGGATTCTACAGCCTTAACTAGTTCTAAGTGAAACAGGTACAGCTATGTAAATATCTACTTTACAATTTATAAATTGTCCAGAAGATAAATGGTCTGGGACAGAATAGATTCTACCTTAAAATCAAACATTTGGGCAGAACATGGCCAGAAAAAAATATACTTTAGTTTTAATTTCTAGCTCTATGAAATAAACTTTAAGTAGACAGTCCCCAATTTACTCATTATATCATTGGTCCACATGTCTATACTAGTCATTCCGTGTTGACTACATGGGTGTCATAATTCAATTCTGGCCCCTTGGATAAATTTTTTCAACAGGTTTCTAAACAAGCCAGATAATTCTCATTCAAGGTTAAGTTTCATGTTTATCTCATCAATTTTATGAAGGATATTTTGAAGCTGTTTTAATGTAATATATAGATATGATGTATTATAGAAATGTACACTTGAAACCTATGTAATTTTACTGACCTATGTCACCCCAATAACGTTAATAAAATTTTTTTTAATCTATACTAATGATCTATTGGCTGTTTCTAAGGTTTTCCAGCTATCAAACCATCAGTGAACTAATCAGGTAAAGGATTACAGAACCTGAGGACAGTTCCATTATTATTAGAATAATCTCTAATATTTCTCAATGCTACAGAGAAATTTTTAAAGTTTTAAAAAATGTAAACCTTCCAATTTTCTCAGCTAGCTTTTTAAAGAAGACTTAACATTCACGTCATTTCTTCAAAGATTTTCTAAAATCTAAGAAAGCAACAAAACACTTTGGGAACTAAGTGGTTAATGTTGTTTACTGCACCAAGGATACTCAATTTTCATCAACATGATTCTGTTTTTGTACACTTTATTGTATTCTAGGGCCAAAGCAGATATTTGATTTGGGCATTTTTATGTCCCATTTTATTCGGGACTGCCTACTTATTGGGGCTGTTTTGATGAGCAGAAACTTTGACTAATCCTTAAACATGAACTATTAAATTTCCAAATGGAGAAAAAAAAGTTTGTGTTATACTTGAAACAAATATCCTCATCCTTCCTGAGCCAACTACATTCTGTCCAAAGGTGGCAATCAAACATGAAGGTCAGAGATTAGAGTGAGAGTCAGAGGCAAGGTACAGCGCATAGATAGGATGAGACTGACATGGAGCATATCTGGGAGGCAAACCACATGTATAACCAGGAGATAATCTTTATCATCACACTTGCTTATCTTAAAAGACTGTTCTAGAGAAAACTTCTGCTTGTCTGCTGATAATATACATGTCACTTCAATAGTCTGAATCTCAAAATCTGTGATTTTTCTCCAAGTTAACCAACCATTCAATCTCAATTAAAAAGAGAGATCTGGCTGTCAAATAATGAAAAATTGTTTTTTTCCATTTGGATGTCATCAGGATAGTATGCTTTCTTTTTATATGCTCCTGATTATGAATTTATTATGCAGTGGAATAGAGTAAGTTTGTAGCCACAGTATTATCCCTATTCTCAAGCTATAGGCTGCACAGAAAGTTCCCTACTTCTAACTGTTCCCTCAGAAAATGATTTCATATACGTGTATCATAAAACTCCTAAATGATTTTAGGGGACTAGGCCAATATCTCCTTAACTGCTAATAAAGTTATAACAGACTTCTGGCATTTACTATATATATAAAATACAGTTACAAAAATTTTTACACAACCCAGAAATGAAGAAAATGAACAACTGGTATTATCAGGAAAATCTATTGCACATACAATTTGTTAATAATTCTTTTGAAAATAGCAATTTTATATTTTGATGAGGCCATTTTGACCCAGCTATATTATACTCAAAACATATAATGTGGAGGCAACTTTTATGATTCTAAATTATTATAAAGATTTACATTTGTATTTATGTGAAGTTCAAACTTTTATATTAAGTATACCCCCCCAACATAATACTGTTCCAGTATTACACATGATTTACTTACTGTATTCTACTTAGAATAAATAACTGATAGGTTACAAGACAAATTATTAGTTTCAAACTGTGTAATACCATGCAAATGTACTCACAGATATAGAACATTAGCCTACAGGTAAGCATTGCCCTCTTCAAAGTAGTCACTCTGAGAAGGATGCAAACTTGTTCTAACAATGTTGTCATTACTTAAAACTATTTTTAAACCACCCTTTTGAAATTGCCTTCATAGCCTTCAGGATAATCTTTTAAATATCCTTTAAGGGTGGTGAAATCTTGAAGGTAGAGCTGAGTTTCGCAACTATGCACGAATCATTCTGCCAAGTTTAACAAATAAAACAGGTGTCCAAACTGAGTTACACAGATTTTTGTTTAAGAAAAAAACACAAACAAAATACAAGTGCTTATAAAAGTAACTCTAAAATTAAATTTTTACGTTGCTTATAAATTGACTAAAAATTTCAAAAGATTCAAAACAAATGTGAATAGCAGCAGTACTTTTGCAATACGTGTTCAGCCCCCTAAAGTAACCACAAATGCCCCCTCTTTAAAAACATCATTGACAGCATGTTTGGGGGAGGGGACAGTGTTTCACAACTCTAGAGTCACGCTTTGAAGTCACAAAGCAGTTTCTTCCATTAAGTTCAAAATATTTTCCAGACATTACTTTGTTTAATTCTCCAAATACCCCTTATGAGAGAAAAGACAGATTATCATTCTTTTTTCAGATAGCTAAGCAAAGGTGGTATAAGGGAAAGATAACTTTTATCCCATGAGTCAATAAATAAGTGTAGGCACACTGTGCCCTAAAATTTGTGCTATGTAGCTATCAAAATTTAAGTCAATTTTTTTTTGCTTTATGCTGCTTAATAAAATGGCATTATATGAGGCAGGTATGTCACAAAATATTGCAGAGGTCTATGAAAATCATTATTAATTCACTGCATACTTGACTGGAAGAACTCTTGCTTAATTTATGAGAGGTACTTACTAAAGAGGCTAGTGTCAATCCTCAGATACACTAATAATAAAAGTCCTATGTAAGTTTTTTTATCAAGAAAACAGCTTTTTTTAATACTCCTTGAATTTTAGAAGAAAAAAAAACCTTCACTTTGAAAAACCAAATATGTAAATCAAAGAGAGGAAGAAAAATGGGGCAATGAAAGATCTACTGGCAAAATCATTGAAGAGCAAACCCTAGGGAAACGTCATAAATTGTTGATGGCTCTGGAGAGAGAAGAAAGCACAACATAATATGTATATGATTACAAGTTAATTTCCATCAAAATTATTAAAATGACTATTCTGAAGTTTTAATTCTTTTCTGTGAGAAAAGAAAACTTGCTGCTCAATGTTTAGGGATACCTAAGAACTGGCTTCCCCCATTCTATTTCTTAAATAAGCATTTAGGGGCTCTGCTATGATAATCTCTTAGTATCTTTGGGGCCCAATGACAAACATATTTATACAGGAGATGAAAGACTTGACAGGTGAAAGACAAAGGAAATTTAACGCTTACTACAACTCTAGTGATCCTATTCAACAACTGAAATGATTCTGGTCTTTTAAGTATCATTTTTAGGGGTACTATTGCAGGAGTCTGAAATGACTCAGTTCTGGTTTTGTTTTTTGTTTTTTTTGGGGGGGGGGAGGTTTCAGTAATTAATGAGCAAATAAAAAAATGTAATGAGTCTCAGCCGGGCACTCGGAGCGCTAAATTGTGTTTGCGGCCGAGCGGCTGGACCCAGAACAACTCTGTCAGACGAGTTCTCATCACCGCTCCCACAAGTGCTGACGGCTTCGTTTTGCTATCATCATTTTTCCTCCTGGGAGCCTCCGCTGTCTAAGTCTATAAAATGGGGTAATTGAATGGTAACCTGCCTACACAATGCTCCTTTGAAGTTAACTAATGAATGCTCTCCCGGGTGCACTTAAAACCATTAGATGTTACAAATGTATCGAGGACGCTCTCCAGAAGGCCACCGTCCATACAAACATGTCATAGAGGCGCTAGTGACCGTCGTCCCCCATCACGGGCCGTCTCCACACCTGCGCCCGCTGCAGCTCCGCGCCGCGGAAAGTCTGTCCGCCCCGGACCCAAGGCGGCAACCGCAGCAGCGGCAGCGCCGACACCGAAACGGACCAGACAAAAGGAAGTGGATCCGAGCCGCGGGAGCGGGCCGCGGGAGGGGGGTGCGCCCACGCTCCCCACCAGCTCCCGCACGACGACACAGGGCGCAGCTCCGCAGCCCCGACCCG